AAAGCACCTGGATATCAGAACAATTTCGACTCTCACATCTGGAACCAGGCAAACACAAAAAAGCACAGAAGAGTGAGGCGTGTCTACATGTCTACATGTCAAAATCTGAGAGCCTCAGTCACTGAGTATATGAGTACCTGATGCCTAATTTTTCTAATTTGCTTTTCATAAGTACAGATATTTGCATCATGAAATGGTGCAGGAAATGTACAAACTGGGGCATAAAAATGATCATAATGCAGGGAAACTAATGATCACTTTTTCCACCTTCTTCTCTGTACAATTAAACACGTTTATGATTGCAAACAGATATGTAGTTCGATGCAGCCTCACACAGGGCAGTTACATCTTCTAGCCTTTGTTTATGAAGGCAGAAGGTCTTTGCAAATTAAGAATCTCTGAAATCCTTAAAATCCTCAGAACTCACTGAATTTCCAAAGGTTTTGAAGTACTTTGTTTGGTGTTAATTTCTGATAACATTTTATGATTTCCTAAAAACCCCATCTGACTGCTTGTTGGCCCTCATCTAAAAAAAACATTACATTAAAAAACAAATAATTTTCTAAAAAGTGTAGTGCAGTTTCTTTTTTTCTTTTTTTAAAAGACTGAGCAAGTTTGGCTGCTTAGCATTTATTCATATTTAAGGTTCTACAAGAGAGAAAAGTATTCTAGTTCACACTGCATTTAGTTTCTCTACAAAATGATGGAAGACTGTCTCCTTCAGCTCTGAAATAAGTCCAAAATATCTTTGGTCCATTGATAAAAAGAATTAACAAAACTATACAAAATCATATTCACAGTGTTACTAACATAAAAGTAAAGCAGGGTGATAGAAAAAAAAAAAAACTCACTAAAATTGGGCTCATAATGAACAAGAATGTCTTATACATACTTGATACACTATGTTATATAAAAGTATAAAAGCTGGAATCTGCATAATAAATAAATATAAGGGAACCACCTACAGAAGGTAAACCCCTGTATTGACAATAAATCCAGGGATACACATAAGTGATTACTTTAATAAGACTTTATGTGTTAGGAGGTAGATGTAAGAGGATAAAAGTGATGCCTACAAAATGATGGATGGATGGAGAGAGTGTAGAGCAACGCTAAAGCCGAAGGCAGACTCTATCGCAATCAGACCATGCTCTTAAATACACAAACCTTCAGCCACCTGCAGCTCAGACTCCATTCTATAGTGTGCTACAGCCCTCTAGTGATTGTGTGTCATGCTGACTGAAAGTGTGCTGATACATCAGTCGTTTGGGTTCACTTGCTGGTTCTCTGCTGCAGCTTTTGTTATTGTGACAGTTAAACTTAACTGTTTTTCCCAGTGGACACTGCACAACAGCATTGAATATTATAAATAATATAAGATTCTGTTTTCCAGTAACAATCTGTCAAAGTGAATGTTAAATCCCTGCCCAGCTCAGCCTGTTCCGTTTGGAGTTCGCATGTTCTCCCTGTCCTTGAGTGGATTTTTTCTTCTGGCTTTTTCCGACATACACATTGGGTTACTACAAACTACACCAGGGGTCCCCAACTAAAATAGCAGGAGGTCCACTACCTCTATCCTCCAATCAATTTGGAGTCTGAACATTTGAAAAGAACCAGCAAAAATTATTTTATTTTTATTTAACATTTAATTAACAATATAGATTTTTGTCTAATAACTATTGATCAATTATTCATATGCCCATTAAATCATCTGCTGAACAGAAAAGTGTAATCCAGTTCAAATACTAGTATTAAACAAAAAACAATTTAACAATGAAATTATACAATAATCTTTACCACATGTACTGCATAAGAACCAACATTAAGGTGTCTTGATGCATGCTCAATCATCCAGGTAAGTAAATCCCAAAAAGTTGATTCTGTTCATCTGGATGTAGCGTTTTTAGTGCACTCTCAGAAATAGAGGTACAAGA